ACCGGTTTCCCACCCTAAACGTTACATGAGCGCCTCGGGGGTTTGCCGGTTCGTTGCAGGCTTTGAAGAGGGATTCTTAAATCGTCGCGAGCATCGCATCGGTTTCCCACCCTAAACGCTACGTGAGCGCCTCGGGGGCTTGTCGGCCCGTTGCAAGCATCGATAAAAGAACCATTTTCTTTCTTTTGAAATCTCTTCTCTTTTTTTTTTCTTTTTTTTTTCTTTTTTTTTTCTTGGAGAAATCATCTTTTTTTTTTTCTCTCTCTCTTTTTTTTTTAAACTCCACACATCTCTATTTTTTTTTTACATTGCCGTCGCCATATTACAAATAAGAATTCAAAGGGAAGTAGCATTATTAAAAAGAAAACTGTTAATAACAGTAATATTTAATAACAATAACAATACTGATAACTTACTTAATATCAATAGGTATGGCAATAACTTAAGAAACATAAAGGGCTACAGGAAGGTCACCTTGGATTATTGATATGCTGTTTGGATGGGGGGAATTGAAGTATAGCTATGGGCTAGATTTGACGTGGGTTGAATTGGTTGAGAAATGAAGTGGAGAAGGATTGTTGGATATATGTTCAGTGAACTTTAATGGGCTGCTGTGTGGATTAGAGAAGCATGTAGGTAGTTTTTGGATGGTGGAGTTGGCTTGGAGTGAGTACTTTGCTGTAGCCTTGGTTGAAGGAGTTGAGGCAAAATGGAGGCTCAATCCAACTGCTCATTTCTTCCTGACAGTGAAATTTTGTTGATGAGTTAATGTATTGCTGATGATGGTGCTTCTGTTGTTGAACTTCTACAGAAAGCATAGTTGATGCTGGTTCCTTGCCAAGGACCTCCATGTTTGATTTCAAATCTTCTAGTCTAGTTTCAATAACTTCCAACTTTGAAATATTATCAACATTACCAGGGACTTGCTTTGTTTTTGCCCTACGATTTGAAACTTTAATTGTCTGAGCTTCAGCCTGTTGATGCAATCTGCCATACGGCTGAGCGAGATGTTGAGCATTCTCCAAAAGGGCACCGAGTATCAATGCTCGCAAGGGCTCGACAACATTTGCTTTAGATCAGAGCACTTGTTGTTTGCATTGGAGAAGGCTTTCTGCCATCATGCGAATCATCCAAGCATTCCAATTGATGGGCTCAGGACTGAACTTGCGAAACATCAGGAACGACGGGCTCAAAAGAAGGGAAGCTGGACGGGCCTGCTGCTTTATTCTTCCAGCGGAGGCTCGAACTTGGTGTGAAGAGGAAGATCGGCTCAGAATCAGGCCTTGGAGGAAGTATTCGGCTAAAGACAGAGGGATGGGATTCGGATCTTGAAGAGATGGAATGCGGTCTGCAGGGGCTTGAAGGCTGGTAGGGATTGAAGGTTGCAAATAGGTAGCTGGAGCTCGTTTTTGATGTAGAGGAAGTGAGTAGATCGGCTACAGTAGTGGAAGAGGAGTTCGGAAGAGCAAAGATCAGAGAAAGTGGATCTTTGCACGGTTGCTGCAGCTGGGACGTAGTTGGAGAAGGCTTGGCTCTGTGGAGTTTAAACGAATGGCTTGCATGAAGTGGGAGACCCAAAAAGCTGAAGAACTCATCTTACACCTTATTTCAATGACAAGGGCTGTATTGTAAGAAGCGAGGCATCTGTCTAAGGTTCATTTCAACGGATTTTCAGGAGTTTTGACAGGATTCAGAGCAGAAAATCTGAAGAGATACGAGGTTTGCATTAATGACATTTAAATCCGATTTGATTTATCATAATTTGACTTTTGATTTCTATCAGATTAATAATAATATTTAATGATAAAATATTATTATCAATATTATGATTAATCAGAATGACATTTGATCTTGATTTGCATATTTTTCCTCGATATTTGTGTGTATTTCATCTCGTAGTACGTGTCGATCTTGCCGAACAATCATAATTGGACAAATTGATAGTGCATTTAGGGTATTGCTGATGTCCCGGTCACAATGACGCAGTCCGTTTCACGATCGGACATCGTCTAAACATCGTCGAGGCTTGATCTTTATTGAAATACGTATTGTCTTATTTGAATAATTTCGGAATTTGTGCCACCACCTCGAACAATCCAAGTTGATAAAAAAAATATATTTTCTTAATGTCAACGATGTTCCGGACATAATGGCACTGTTCGTTTTGTGATCAGACGTCATTTTGCCACCGATGAGGCTAATTTCTCTCATAATGCGCGCCTTCGCATCATATTTGAATCGCTTTCGAAATTTGCGACACCACTTAAAATGATCCAATTTGATCAAACAAAATGTAGATTCTCAATGCCGATGACGTTCCGGACGCAATGGCACTATCCGTTTGTCGACCCAACGACGTTTCGTCACCGACGAAGCTAATTTCCCTCGTAGTGTGTGCCTTCGCATCAAATTTGGATCACCTTTAAAATTTGCGACACCACCTCAAACAATCCAATTTGATCGAATAAAATATAGATTCTTAATGAAGACGATGTTTCGGACACAATGGCATTGTCCGTTTGTCGATCGGACGTCGTCCGAGTGTCTTCGAGGCCTCGTTTCCGTCATAACGCAGGCCTTTATATCATATTTGCATCACCTAAAAATTCACCACCATCTCGGATGATTCAAATTTATTAAATAAAATGTATATCCTGAATGTCGACGTCGTTCCGAACGTAATGGCGCTGTCCGTTTGTCGATCGAACGTCGTCCGAGCATCTTCGAGGCCTTATTTCCGTCGTAACACAGGCCTTTATATCATATTTGAATTGCTTAGAAATTTGCCACCATCTCAGATGATACAAATTTATTAAATAAAATGTGTATTCTGAATGTCGACGACGTTTCGGACGCAATGGGGCTTCCCATTTGTCGATTAGATGTCATTCGAGCATTTTCGAGGCCTTATTTCCGTCGTAATGCAGGCCTTTATATCATATTTGAATTGCATAGAAATTCGCCACCATCTCGGATGATCCAAATTCATTAAATGAAATATATATTCTGAATGTAGACGACGTTCCAGACGCAATGGCGCTGCCCGTTTGTCGATCGAATGTCATCCGAGCATCTTCGAGGCCTCGTTTCCTCGATATGCACATCTTTGCATTACATTGGGATTTGCGCTACCAATCTAGATACTCCAAATGGAATAAACAAAATATAATTTTCATAGGTTGGCAACATTTCAGATGCAACGATGGAGTCTGTTCGTCGATCTGGGATCGTTTGATCAGTCTTGCACTTTAATTTCGGGTGTCGGTCGTCCCTTTTGACTGATCTTGTTCGATTCAATTGCGAGGGGTCTCGACCTAGCAGAATTCGACGTCCTGATCGCAACGACGCCAACCATTTGGCAATCGGAGGTCATTTGACCCTTTAAATAATGTGTTGTATCAACCCGTGCGCGGCTCAATCCACCGCTTTTTTTCTTTTGCGTGTTGTTTAAGGTGTAGGGGTCAACATCATCTTCACACTCTAGTAGTCGTAGTTTTCACCGGTGAATATTGGATATGATGGAGAAGAAATTGAGCCTGTAATCGTTCCCATAGATTGAAGCTGCTCTGATACCATTTGTTGGAGAAATGAAGAGATGAAGAGATATTGATGGAAGTAGAAGAATATATTTTTTTCTCTTACCATTTCAACAATACATCATCCCTATTTATATCTCCCGCCTCGATCCATGAGCTTCCATTGCCGACAATCTCGCGAAGGTATGGATTTTCTAAACTCAGATTCTCGCTTTCGTTGTATGCGGAGGACTGGAAAACTGCCTATACACGCCTTTATTATGCGTGGTGGGATGGGACCCCGGTCTGACGCCTACGACGAGGCGGGCAATCACTTAAACTCTACTTTAGCGTTCGTGGCGCACCGAAAAATCGCCTATACACGCCTTTATTACGCGTAGTGGGATGGGACCCCGGTGCGGCACCTACGGCGACGCGGGATCACTCATAAGTACCCCCGAGCGCGGGGAAAGCAAACTGCATTTTTAAACAGGTACCGAAGACCCCATATAGGCCTTTATTGCAAGTGGTGGGAAGAAAGATCACGGCCGCGGTGTCCTCATCCGAGGACACCTACCATACATGACTTTATTGCTCGTGGTGGGAAGGCCCAGTTTCTCGTAGTTTTCTCCTAAGCGGGAGAGACGCCGAGAGGCTGTCGAAATTTCAGGTGAAACATGACTATACTCAGACCTGATTTAGGACTCAAATGAACATGAATTGTGGACTTGTGGACCTTTGAACTTGATCGAACACGAGCAGGGGACCTATGAAAATGAGCTTAAATGAATTAAATTCAAACTTGAACAAAATACAATAAGAATTTGGAATTCAACATAAAATAAGGACCTAACTCAGACTTGAAAGAAAACTTGAACTCAATTTGGAAATGAAATGAATTGAACAAGATCACTTGAACTTATGCACTAAACTCAAACTCGAATCATATACAAAGAGACTTGAACTTGACTGAACTCAACAAGACTACAAGGACTTAAATATGAACTTGAACTGTACAACGCCAAGTGAAAGTTGGATTTGCAAGCATTATATTCAAATCCGGATGAACTCAATATGATAGTAGAAGACTTGAACGAATGTAGAAGATTCATACTGAGTTTAAACTCAAATCTGAATGAAACTGAACTTGAATTCAAACACATACAAGGAACAAAGCTTGAATCACACACGAGGGAACTCAAACTACAAGAACATTTGTGCGGTCAATAGTGACTCAATGTCAGATTAAATAAATTGATCTTAGTAAACAAATGTGACTAAGGCACACTACGAGACCTCAATGCATGCAAATAAAGAATGTAGTGGACTCTTACAATAATCTCTACGAGATCGGGTGCATCGTACCTGTAAGAATGAAATGCATGGGTGTCCCTCCTACATGCACTATTGGAATCTCCTATGACAATCCCTACAATGCCTGTAGATTGGGATGACAATATTGTCAATTGATAGTAGAAGACCTGTCCTTACAAACAAGTACAATTATCAAACCACCCGAGATTGGTGAAAGGGTGGATATGATGTAGGAACAGTGGATCTTCTACGAACACCTCCAGGAGGTTATAGTGGATACAACGGGTCCCTACAAACAAAATACGAGCCGCTTGTGGATACCAACAGTGGGTGTATCGTAGGCACAATGAACCATTGGGGACACAAGTATAGATATCACCCACGGTAGAGGTGATTGAGGTGCTGCAAAGCATGTCGGGTATGAAGAAAACTCGATGTACGAAAAAGGACACCCCCTGGCAGAAGGGAAGAAATGTTTGAACAAATCAGAACTAAACTTTCTAGTGTTCCAAAGTTTCTTCTTAAGAAGAAAACAATTATGGTGTCCACAAACACCGGAAATGACAAGTCTACTACATTGATAATCTCAAAAGGAGTTCTTTTCAAGACAACAATCATTGATTTCAAAGTCCACAAGACCTTCCTTTGTGAACGAGAAAGGGGAATCAACATCAAGACGATGAGGTGCCTCATGAGATCCAGAATATTGCCACCGGACCCGCAACACTCATACTAGCGGACAGAAGGCGTGTATAAGCTCTTAAATGAAATATTGTGTATTCAAATGGAAATTACCTGCACAACTTTAAATATTTCAAAATACTTATGCACATGCATTGTAATATGTATACACATAGGTACACAAGGGGTAAATGTGACAAAACACCCGCATGGGCACCGGCGAGCGTGTTATTGGTACATACATGACCTCTAGGGATGCTGCGCGGGTCAATAAGTGAATTCAAGTTCGAGCTCAATCCGTCTATAAGGATTAATAGAAGTTGACAGAGTTCGAACCATCAAACAAATACCGGTTGTGGCGACCGGTGTATTTGTTTTAATACATTCATATCCAGTCTTCAAGGCCTATAATCAAAAGAATTCACTAACAAAGGTACGAAGCCTACGAAACTCGATCCTCCTAAGCATGTAAATAGGAGTAGACATGGTTCAATACATCGGATAAATATATGGTCACAAAGTCGACCATAATATTTATTTTATTCATTCATATTAAACCGTCAATGCCTTTAATAAAGAAAATTCACAAACAAAGGAACAAAGCCTACGAGAAACTCGATCCTCGGTCAACAGCTCAGCCGAGTCGACAAGGTTCAATCAACAAATGGAAATGACCTCACACACCTCGATGATGGCCGTGTTGAATGCGAATCTCAACCAAAGGGGTTAACTACAATATTTTAAATGCCTCCCAAAAGTCCATTCAAAATTTAAAACTCCACAAAGTCCAAAATCCAACAAATCCCAAATTCCAAAATATTTAAAATTAAAGATTCAATCACCAACGATTTAAAGCAAAATCCATCCACCACTTCGCAACAATTTGCTGGGTGGATAAATTAAAATTTACTTCAGCTCACACTGAGCTAAATGCCTATTCAAAAATATCACTAGGGTCCATTCTCAAACAATCTCCTGCCAGTAAGGATGTGGTACGTGTCCTCTAACCGACGGTTTTGCCACCAAATGGCACCGCAGGATAAACGGTTATGACCCGGGGCCCTTTGAACTGAGTGGTTTTGCTGCCAAATGGCACCATGAAATACCGGTTATGGCTAAAGCCAACACGTTCCTTAGTGGCATCAAATCCTTGAGATATGAATCAATATGGTATGATCGATAGGGCACAAAGCCCTTAGTTAGCTAAGGTGAATTTAAATTTGTCCCCTTAGACAAATATTCACCCCAGGTCTACAAGGTTCCCTTGGACGAAGCAACCCATGGCTGCCGACAAGGATCCTTCTGTCAGGTTGGGTCGACTACCTCCTCTGACTAAGTAGACCAGAGAGCACGATGGTCCGGGACGACGGAACCATGGGATCTTGATCGGGTCTATCATCCATTCCCCCACCATCCGCTTTAAGTGCAAGATGGTGAAAAATTCTATTTTTAATATCATATCTCCAAATCTTCCAACCAAAATTCCAATCCAAACCCAACTCTTCAATTTTCAAGCCCATGCTGCTACTATATGCCAGATAACACGTATCTCTATGTATCTGATTGACGACTAGCCTTAATCAAAAGTTCTCTCTCGTTATCGGGAGGGGTAATTAACTATAGGGGCTTGCGCCTATAGGAAACCAGAACTCAGATCATAAAGTCCTCGCAAAATGAGGGCGAAATCTCTGGGTAATGTCTTATCTACCAACCCATCTGCCTTCCAAAATTTACCCCAGAACTTTATTCCGTTAAAACTCCCGCGCCGAATAAAAAAACAATAGTCGGGCGGAGGCCGGGGCCGAATTTTCGGAGCCCACAAATATTATATCAGTAAATATCTAAACACAGTAGGCATCATTCACTCCATGAAAATATGGTCCATTGTAACTCTTCATTATGAATAACTATTCTGATTTTATATCAATAAGTCTATGTAAATTTGAGGCATGTACACCTGACATTTTCAAGGATTGGACCTATTCATACACTGCTCTTCTTTGATCTAACTTGAGAGGATACTCGACTTTTGGCTTTAACATATTACTATTAACTCTTTGTTGAAGCTCCAGATGTCTTTTCTAGTAGTATTTTGTTAAGTCCCTTTATGCCTTCAAATTATCCTTTATTTTTACCTTTATATTCATCATGGTGTTTAATATGTTGTTGAAGAAGTTTTTTTCAATGTACATAATTTATAAATTGTGTCATATCAAGTATTTTCTCTGGTAGCTTAAATAAAAAAAATGCTCTTCTTCATCATGTTGATACTAACTCCATAAACCGAAGTCTACAATTTGATAACATTGGTGGATTGATAATTTTTTGTAAAATCCTCACCTCTTCTCGTAGGTGAACCCCACTCAATTTTGATGGCGACATTGATTTTAATATTCTATTCTTTAAGGAAGCATCTTTATTTCTTCTAAATGCTTGATCATCACATAACATAAAATTTCATTCAAACAAAAAATTCTTCCATATTTTAGTATGAATATTTTATTTAATTTCTTGTAGTATGAGCAAACTAACTTTTCCTGCAGTGTTTCGGCCTTATAACATCCCATTTGCTATAAAATCATGAATCGCCCACAATAATGCCCGCTTTCATCTGAAAGTTTTTTTTTAAAAAACTTAAAATATTATACTTTAGTACATGTTTACCATAAAATCTTTAGGTTATCAATTAGTGGTTGTAAGTACACATCAATTTTAGCTTTTGAATTATACAATCTAGATATGATGAGTGTGAGAAAAATGTATGATTTAGTCATGCACATTTATGGTGAAAGTTTATATAGTGTAAGTTCTACAAGCCGGCATGAACATGATGAAACAGTCTGACTATGTGGATTAAAATCATCAACGCATAGTTTTAGTCTAATATTTAATGTTTCAACTGCAAATTATTGATGCATACGATCGAAGCTTTCAAGCTTTAACATTAGATGGATGAACTGGAACTCCTTGTTTTGAAATTCTTTTGTGATACTATCTCATTTGAACAACAAAGCTCATGGCATAAAGTCTTTGAAGAAACATATGATGAATATATAAAATAACGTAGTATATGCGACATTTTTCTGCTTTCATTGCTTCCCATTTTGCGGTTTGAATTGAGATGTATTACAATGCCTACATGCTGTTTTTGCTAAGTCATCTTTGTAATATAACATGTTATTGCTTTCTAAATTATACTCTATTAGGTATTTGTCAGCTGGAACTAAGTTGATTGTTTGATTAGTTTCCTTCATTAGTAAAACAAATTAGTTGAAATATTTCTGCGGTACAACACACTCTATTTTTAATACTAATCAACCTAATTTTGGCTGATAACTCAGAGTAAGTGGTGCAACTATCATGTAATGATTGTTGAGCAGCACGTAATAATAATTCATACAAAATTTAGGCTTCAATGTTAAGTGGTTCTTTTGTAGGTTTTCTAAATTATAGGTCGGTCGCATCAAAGGATATCTCTTCGTATATCATATTATTTCCTTTATTTATTGCTGTAGATCTTGTGAAAGCATTACATTGAGAATCGGTAGGTGGCTTGTACTCTCCATGTGATGTGTCGAACCAGTTATATCGATGAAATTCTATATGATATAAATCAAATATAATCATTAGACATGAGTTACACTTGAATTTTGTTTTTAAAGCATAGACATTTAAATTTTCCTTCCAATAAAAATGAAAGCTTTTAAGAAACTATGTAAACCATATATTCAACTCTCTTGACGAATTCATATGTTAAACTATGACACATAAGTAAAATTCTATTATCCACAATCTATGGCTTCGATGTTTATGTATACGTTGCATTTATATAAGTTAACAATTTTTTCGATAACCATGATAACATATTGATACATAAATATTCAAATATATATAAAAATATAAATGTACTAAATAATATTTTAAACAAATCTAATGTAGAATTCCTTAGATCGAGGGAAAAATAAAAAAATCCGACCAAAAATGGACCCAAATTGTGACAACATGGTCATAGAGCGAATGGGCTCTAGAGCCTGTAAGTTTTGAATGGGATGAAGGGATGGACTTAAAAAAATAATCTAACAATTTCTATGAGAATATTCATTGGAAATAAGTTAATTGATTTTTGGAAAATTTTGGTTGTGCATGCGTTGGAAGTGCTGCTAGATTTTTATCACACTTTAGTTGTTAGTAAATTTTTTTCATGAATTGCATTTTTCTTTCCATGTTAATGAGAAAAGAAAACATAGGAAATAAGATTTGGTGATAGTACCATGCTACTTATTTTACTTGCAATGATGATTATTAACAAATCTATAGCACTTTTAAGGTAAAGTAGCAATCAAATGTTGATTTATTAATAATGATGCTTTTAACAATTTATTATGATTTGACTAAATTATTATTTTGATCATAATCTATGATGCACAAACATGGAACAACACGAACACAGACATGCCAAAAATATAGGACACGGACACGGGTTGAACACAATATTATAATTTTTATATTTTAAAAATAGTGTATAAAAATTAAATAAGTATAATATTAAAAATAATTTAGGCATCGAGAGACGAGACACAATGTTGTTGAGAGACAGGTATCGATTTTATGCAGTAAGTATCCGGCGTCGATGTCAAGAGGGCATTTGTTGTCGATGTTGAGAGGGTGTTGGCCGTCAGTGTTGAGAGGGTGTTGGTCGTCGATGTTAAGATGACGTTGGACAAGATGAGCTGTCAAGTTGTGAGTGTAAAAATTGGTAGCGTCGAGCATCAATGTCAAGATAGTGTCATACTTTGATGTTGAGATTTTTTTTTTGTTATCGTCAATTCTTATTAGCTGAGCTGATAAAAGAAAGTACTTAATATGCTTTAATGTGTAGGAGATGAGTTTCAGATAAGGAAGGATCTTAAAGTGAAAGCGTTTAGGACTTACCATGTGATACCTAGCCAGGTATGACCAATTCAAATTTATAACTTTCAACTGTCTCTAATAGAAATGGGAAAGAAAATTTTTATAGGTATTGTTCATCAACATTTTCTCCTCTTCAAACATTGGCAGGGGTATATTATTTATTCTGTTAAACAGAAACTTAAGCAGGAATATATGACTCTTTCAGGACACGAAATCAAGTCCTTACGGTTATCTGGTGTTGAGGTCTTTCTTGGGAAAAACTTACCTATTTTCTTAAAAAAATGATTTTGAAGTTATTTTTTAACATTTTTGGAGCTTTTTTTTGTTATTCTTTTTTCGCAGGTCACTTACACAGTGACATCACCTGAGATTGCCTTTACAGGTGACACAATGTCAGATTTTGTTGTCGACCCAAATAATGCTGATGTTCTAAAAGCTCGGATTCTTGTCATGGAGGTGCATGTTTTTTTTTAACTTGTGCTCATTGATGATATTTTCTACGGTATTTTTCTTCAACTATATGTGCATATGAGTTTCTCACTTAAGTTCATGACACCTTGTATGGTTTTATGCAGTCCATTCAGCTGCTCAGATTTTCCAATATATTACATCTCTCGAGTAATCAACTGATTTTGATGACGTTGTCAAGAGCATCCTATACAATCTGCTTTAGATGATCATTGTTACTTTCTTTCCACTATTGGTTTCTTCTCTTATTTATATCTACTAGATTGCATATCTTTCTACTTTGTTGCATGGTAAGTGTATCATTTTAAGGATATCAGGTTTAAATTCCAATTGTTGAATGGTAAAAGAAGCATGGATACATCTTGTAAAAAGGAAATCCTTCATGCATAAAATTTTGATTTGTCAAACTTAAGTGTAGATATGATGCAAGGTTGGGAATGTAAGTTGTAACGATAACATTCCATGCATATGATACTAAGCTATGCTTATCATGGTTGCATACTTGTATATGCTAATTAACGTCTTTTATATGCCTAATAGGTTCATATAGAAGAACTCGGACCTAATAGGTTCTATTGATAAGAGTTTGGTCGAAGCAATATCCTCGTTCTCCTCAGGTACGCGTGAGCTAAGGAATGTGACTCACCCAGGTCTAGCAAGTTGAAGAGTTATCCTCGACAGAAGTTATATGGAATTGTAGAGATCCATCCAAGTTTTTAAGGACTCTCATCCTCGGCAGGGATCAACCTCCCAACGTTACTTGGCCGTGCTTAGATCAGCAAGTTTCCGCTAAAGCCATCCAAAATGGCTATGGGGAATGAACCTCTCAAGAGGTAAAAAGCTTGAATGCTTGATCTTCTGGGCTTGGCTAACTCTAAGCCTGCAGTTATCATGAATCAAGAGAATTTGCCCTTCGCACTTTATGGTTTAAGAGCTGCACCTAGAAATTTGCTAGCACGCACAAAGGACTCACAACTGACTCACTTGCAACAACTTGCCTTGAAACTGAGGATCATGCTAGGAATGGAGAACCACGTGGACACCTATTAGGTCATGAACCTTGTCCTGTACAATCAGCAATGAGTTGTGATTAATGATATACTTTTTAATTTTTTTATGTAGTTTTCACTATAGCCCTCAAATCCCTTTAATTAAAGAGTGTAGAGGCATATTTCAAATCTTTTTCGGTATTATCGATCTACTAGAGTATTCTTAAGACCTTGGTTTTTTAGTTTTTTTCCTCAGAACTCTTTCAGCTTTTTCTTTCTTTTTCCATACTCACTCACAGTTCTTAGGTTCTCATCTAAGAGGTTGCTTGCTAATAAGGTCGTGCGTCATCATGGGCAAATTTAGATCCAACATCACAATTGTAGTTAACATTGATTAATGTAAGTGACCAGAAGATAGACACATCTCAAAGAGTAGAATCTAGAACTATCTATGAACATGTAGAGAGGGGGCAGCTAAGTAGATGGGTCCCACACAATAATTAAGCATTGTATTGAAGGGAAATTCCAAATTAGGGGTTGTTTAGGGATTAAACTTTTGTCCTTTTGCTTTAATTAGCTTTGTCTTTCTAAGGTTAGGACTATCTTGAATTTTGAAATCTGAATTTGAGATCTTGGTGTTGGTTTTGGACTTTAGACTTTGGCTAGAGATTTGGAGAGTTGAATCTTCCTCTCGAATTGAAGATTCATTGTATCGGGTTGTTTCTTTTCCCTCTGCTATTGAATTTCAAGTTTTTTCTACTTGATTTTTCCTATAGGTTTGACAAAAATTGCTGTTCTATTTTCCATTATTTTGGATTGTTTTCTATCAAATTGGTATCAGAGCACGTCGATTTAAGGGATATCAATTGTTGGAAATAAGGTTGAAGTCTTGGTGGGAGAGCTTGGGCAACTCAAATTAGATTTTGAGGAAAAGATTTTTTATTTTCAAAATCAGACCGCATCCATTAATTAAAGGATGGAGGGAAAGCTCGCCGTGGTGAAAGATATGTTGAAGAAATTGCTAGAAGTCAAAACCAATCCGGCGGCATCGGAAGCAAATGAAACTATCGGCGGCCATGTAAGAGGTGGGAACCCTAACACATTTAGGGGAAGGGTAAATTCAGAAGTGGAGATCTTGGAGGGTGAAGACGGAATGCCTCCTCTAGAACCACTTTCTAGGGAGGAGATGCGCATTGGCTATGAAAGAAGGGGTGCTGATTTTGAAAGAAGAAGAGGGAATTTTGATGAAGGGTTTGTGTATGATCGTTGAAGGGAAGATCGTGACAATTGGGGAGCACATCCTCTTCGAAGAATGTGAGGCTATTGAGGATTCAGGGGAAACGGGGGTGACCTAAAGGTGAGAAAGCTGATGATGCCCAGCTTTGAGGGCAAGGACGCACGGCTAGATCTACATGTTGGAGCGATACTTTGCAGTCAACGGGTTGATAGATAAGGAGAAATTGACAGCTGCACGATTGTGCTTAAAAGGGAAGACACTGACATGGTACCAATGGCGGGATGAGGCAACCCATTCGGAGTTAGAGGGATTTCAAGGACTGTTTACTAGAACGTTTTCGAACCAGGGGGGATAATTTCAAGAAGCTTACTGAGAAGGAGATACTGGAGAAGAGGGCTAGGGAGTTGTTCTTCAGATGTGATGAGAAGTACATGCCAGGGCATAGGTGTAATTTCAAATTATGCAATTTGGAATTTCTCAAATATTTACAACTTAATTGAAAAGTTAACTGATTGGCATAGGAAAGCTATTGGTTGTAACTAATTTACTCATTTAAACTAATTTTAAATGTCCTTTTATTCATCTGATATTAATGCTATTAGTGAATTTGCTTCTTTTTTTGTTGGAGCTTGACATTATTCTTTTCATTACTGATGCTAAAAAACTCTTCTTAATGGTTCTGTAGAGTACTTTTGTTGATAATGCAATGTCAATAGAGCATGCCAGAGAGTATGGCCACACACATATGTCAGAGGTTCGTTCTCTAATTTCATTATTTCTTCAGAGAATAAATAATGTTTGTATTTCTTTAAACTTTTTTTCCCTGTTGTTTTTGTGTGTTCCTGCTGCTGTCTAGATAGCAAGTTATGCAGAAAAGTACCAGAACAAAGCAATAGTATTAATCCATTTTTCAGCTAGATATACTTCAGAGGTAAAACTGACTGTCTTTTCTTAAACCTACAACCGTTTAACTTATCCTAACCACACTAGTAGAATTGAATTTGCCTCGTTTATGACTTATGAGCATTCTTTAACTACGATCGTGAAGTTTATAATTTCCGCATTGATTCAAGCTTCTCCCCCAAAGTCTTTTAAGGTCTATTTTGCACTTGAATATAAACTGTTTAGTTGTTAGTTATTCCATTCTTAACTGTAGCCCCTTGCAGCTTTTCTTTTGGACTCTCTACTAAAGCGGTATTAATGCTTTTCGTGCATCTTGGTTGCCTACATTTTCAACGTGTGGCACTTAGAACTCGTCGTTCTTTTAATATTTAAGAAGCTAAGTTGTGCTCTCTTCTTCACTGATTTTGTAACTCAAGTGTCCTATCTCTTTTATTTCTGTACATTAAGATCGAGTTATATAAAAATAAATTGATGGTGGTGGCAAGCTGGAACATCCCATTTTGACCTCCTTCGGTCAATTTGGAGTATAACAAATTGGGGGAATCCGAATAAAAATATTTCTTAGTAACACCCATCATGAATTACTTCTTTTAGAATCGGATGAGTTTGAAATAATATATTCAGATTATCTCAATAAAAAATTTTCTAGTTTTAAAAATTTATCTACAAATTCATAATTCGAAGAACGCGTCAAATAAAATACAGAGCTTTATTAATAAAGCTTACATACCCAAAAGTTTTACTATACTGCTTTGACTTCTATGTACACCCAAAACTTATGTACACAAAATGCAGTCATTCTCCTATCTAGAGCCCGGCTGGCTCATACCCTTTTCTTACCGTATAACCACTGTTGAACTGCATATATTGATGAAATTCATTTTGTATTCTTTTAACTTTTGACATTCGTTTTGCCTTGTTTATTTTTCTATATTTCAAACAAGTCATATGATGAGTATAGGTTTGTGCGTACTTACAACTCTCTCATGCAAGGTTGGATCCGAATATTCAATTTTTTAAAACATAGATAATCGGGTAGCTTATGTACGGTCTTTTAAGGCTTATCTCATCAGGTCTTTCATCTTTATTTGTACGAACCTATCCTCTATAATATGACTTTTTTCATTAATCTTTTCATTAAACTTCATGTTTTCATAACATATATCTGTAGAATTATTTTACAGCATATAAACATTTTGCATATCAATTAACTCAATTGAACAAGTAATGGACTTAAGTGAATCAGTAATTTAAAAACATGATTAAAATGGGAATAATAATATTATAATTATATAAAAATGCCGCCATGATTTTATAAAGAAATGTTACTATTTCCTATACTACATATTTTATCTCACCTTGTTTTTCTAGGATAGGAGGATAAATTTGTTCTCCTAAAATACCCTGGCCTCTTTTTCTTCTATAAATAACGTCTACCAAATTTCTCTTAATTCAACCAATTTTTCTCATTTCTTATTCCCTTCTTTCACTTCCTTTCTTCCTTACCCAAGCTCAGAATTAGCCGCAGCAGCCTCACGACCATTCCCTGCTCGCCTCCCCCTCCCCTGGATCGTGATCGCACTCGACAGCAGGCAGCTAGAGAATGACGGGTGGGAGGAGGAAAGCGCCTTAGTTAATGGATGCAATTCCACTAATTAATATTATAATCTACTACTAACTCCACTAATTATTCCAGCCACACCCAGCCATATGATCCAGAAATCCATTTAGTAAACCCTTTGCATGCCTTGATTAGTTGATATGCTATAGTAAAAGTAAAATAAAATTAATTAACTTTTAATTAAATAATTGAGATTATATATATATATATATATATATAGCTCAATTGATACAATTCATATTTTTTGCACAAATGTAAGGACTTCTCTTCAAATGTTTCTTATATAAATTAAATTTAAGAAATTTAATTTTAGAAGCAATGCAACAAAATGGAATCTTAATGATTTGAATTGGTTCAGATTGATGTCAAGCCTTGTTCTAAAATTCAAATGAAAACTAATTATTAGTTTTGAATTGAATTATTTTGAATCGAATTCTATTCGATGGATAATGTTCAACTTTTTTAGCAAATATGTTTGATGATTTGGTGAGAATAAAGAGTAGATAATAGAGAGTATAAAAGAGTAGGTATCTCAGTCAGGTACTATCTCAGTCAGGAATACATGAAGAAGCATAGAAAAGTTTTTTATAAACTTTCTTATTGTTGTTCATCACCTTTTATTTATAGGATATTAATGGCTAAAAGAAAGGTTAAACAGAGAAGAATTGGAACATGGCTACATGATAAATACCTGTACAATGTTACATGAATATAGAACACAAGGCACCTTTTGATTGGCATTAGATGGGTGAAGTTAATGGTCTGGTGAGCAAGTAGATGTAAAGCAAGTCTCAAGATGAGGTGGACCCATAGTCAATGAGTGTCTTGTGATTTCGGCACGTAACATGGAAGACTTGGTGTCTCTTAGTGGAGGAAGGTGAATCGAGGTGTCGGTGGGGATGATGTGTTTGTGAATTTGTTAGAAGTTGTAGTTAACTGAGTAAGCATGTGTTCTCCCTCTAGGGCATATAAACACTATGCTTTTACTACTACTCCTTGACCCCGCAATCTGATTGGACAGCTCGAATCCCGCTAGGGAGCGCTGCCCCCTTCGACCATCGACAGGGGACGTTGTCCCCTTAGAACTCCCTACATATTTCATAAATGTACAGAAAAAAACTATCATTCCTGCAACTTATTTTCTTTCAACTTCAGTTATTCCTTTTCCTATTCATGGATGTTTGTAGAGTGTCATCTTCATCGGTCTTTCCTCCTCCAAACTAGCGGCATCTTCACAGACTTTTTCTTGTTTCTTCTTTCTCAACAACTATGAAATACTTTTTTAGTTGAAATCCTAAAAAATATAGATGTTTCGTGATATTTCATTAAAAAAAGAGTGTCATTTTCAATACCCTAAATTTGAACAAGAATATTTTGGGTCGGGTCGGTTGGGCTAGCAAGAAAAAAACAAAACATAAATTAATATCCACGTGTACATGACAAGTGTCGCGATTTTATTGGACTCTAGACGTACAATAAAAAATTGGTGGGGGTGAGCTAAAGAAAATAGAATATTAAAAGCATGAATAAAATATATTTTTTAGAATTTAGACTTTTTTATTTTTAAAATTTTATGCAAGAGTATAACCAAAAATTCAACAACCATAACTTTCACAAAGATGTGCAATGTAAACTAAAACATAAGAAAGTAAATGCATGAAAGTAAAAGTAACACAAATCAAATTTTTATATTGGTTTGATTGAAATTGATCTACGTTTACTCCCCGAAGATTCTCTTATTTGGGTATTCCACTAGAAAGTGCTCTTTTAACACTCAACTAGTTGGAGAAGTCCTCTCTTAAGTGGATTGAGAATGACCTTTACTAAAATTTATATCCCTGAAAAGTCACTCTCCATCAGCCTTCTGGTATGGTGGAGATGTTATTTCCTCATTTTGCTCCTTACATAGTGGAGATGACACTCCCTCCTACTGCTCGCACTATGGAGATGCCTCTCCCCTCTCCTCCACAGATAATAAAGGCTTTCGACTAAAGCTTCCTCTTGGAGCTCCACAACTACAACCCGGAGGACCTCAGGTGTAGGCCAACAAGGACAAAATTGCGACTCTCTCAAGGAAACACTCCCTCAACCTCACCTCCTCTCTGTCCCAAGTGATTTGGACTCTCTCACGAGCAAGGAGACACATCTCTCTCTACGAGTATCTCTCACACAGGAAAAATACCTCTGACTACGCAATATAATCCCTTAGGTCTTATGTGAAAGAATCAAAGTGGGCTATTTAAATAAAACCTTAATTTTTAATTTAATATTTCTGATTGCGTAATACGATATTAGGATTGTACTATTTGATTATTTTAATTCCCGTAATAGATCATCATGTATGATATCGAGACATATAATTCGTTCAGTTATATCAAATCGTTTAAGATAAACCATGGTTTGGGTAGTGAGTTCTCTATTTGATCGGATTGTACAGTTTCGATCGTATAATACAATAATTGGGATTTGGTCTTAATTTGATTCCTTAATCTACGAACAAAATTAGGTAACTTTTATGAATTATTATATAGTATAAAAACCTTCGTAGTACAATCAATTCAAATTTTAATGTTCATATTTGCCTAATTTTTTGTAAGATATCAATTGCAGGGTTTATTGAAATCATATAGTTTTTATGGAGGTAAACTTGAATTACGGAGGTCAACCCTAGAATCTAAAGGTTTTCACTAGAGTAGATCATAAACTGAATATATGGAGTTTAATTTTAGTAGTAATAGACCTAGTGAGGGGATTGTAACTTTGGGCGATCAAGTCATTAACAAGAGTACACATTTCAGATATCTTGGATCTATTATTTAGAGTGATGGTGAAATAGATGGGGATATTATCACCAGAATTCAAGTTGGATGGTTGAAGTGGAGGAATGCATTGGGCTTGTGGTGTGATAGAAAAATCCCCCTCAAACTTAAGAAAAAATTCTATAAGATGGTGGCAAGACCTGCAATGCTTTATGATGTCAAATGTTGGCCATTAAAAGAGAAGCATAATACTAAGCTAAGTGTTGCAAAGATGAGGATGCTCAAATGTATAAGTGGCTTTACCTTGGAGATATGATACAAAATGAGCATATATGTGAAAAGGTTGGATTAGCTCCAGTGGAAGATAAAGATTAGAGAGAATCGCCTTAAATGGTTTGGTCACATAAAACGACAGTCTTCTGATGACCTAGTTAGGAAAGTAGAGGTATTAAATTTGATTTATGTTAAGAAAGGTAAACATAAAAAAAACTTGGTTAGAAAATATTAGAAATGATCTTTCCTTATTATATTTAAACGAGAATTTGACTTTTAATAAGACACAATGGAGAAAAAGGATTCATGTAGCAGCAAAAAGTGTAGAGGAGCATCGCTTACTACACACAAATTTTATCTAACCAAATCAAGTACTTGAATAATATACATATAATGATTGAGGACAAACATTATATAGTGTCAATTAACCATGGTTTTTGGCATTTAATTAACAAATGTTCCAAAAGAAAAGAGAGTAAACTATATTCATATGTCAATCTAGTCCCAAGTAAAAAATTATCTAACCTAAGTGAAATAATGTCAAATAATGCATGCCAAATAAGTTTATCAACACTCAAAGCTATGTACCAAGGGGGTTTATAGCAACTATACTTTGGTATGTCATGCCCCTAACCCAATTAAGTATTTATAGGGGTGTCTTATCATAAAGATAGTGTGTATTGAAATCAAAACAAGTTTAAGAGTCAACACATACAGCTTGATAAGTCTTGCAAGCTAGCTTATATAAGGGAT